ACTGCAACGCCGGACCGTTCCCTGCCTAGCCGGTTTCTCTTCACTCAACGACCACCACCGGCACCGGAGAACCGCTTATTTCACAACTCACTCAATTTTTCTCCGAAAAACCTCTTCCCATTCCAGAGGTACTGTTACTTCTGTTTTACGGTCGAAGGAAGGGAGCACGGCTGCCGAGCTAACTGAGTCGCCGGTGAAAATAGTTGCGGTTGTCGGTGAAGGAACTATCAGTCCTCTAAAATGCGCCACGTGGGAGGAGGTTATGCTCCATACTGTAAGTGGTAATTCCAGAGATTAATAATTTCCAGATTCTTTCTTTTTAATGAAAATTCATATTCAAGTTCAAATTATCAGTGTATTAGCTATGATATTCAAGAAATGCATCAATTTTTATTTTCAGTTTAAGGTCATGTTTGGTGTGCTGTAAATAGATTAGAAATATAATGGGTAGAAGGAAAGTCTCTAACAGTCCAGACTTCATGCAGTCTGGACTGTTAAATTATTAAGGGTGTTTTGGAATTTTTATAAGGATTTTTCTAACCTGTGCCCTTAACCCACACCCACAGGTTAAGAATATGTTTTATCATAAATGTACATAAAAAAAATGTAAAAATTGATATTGATTTTAGTGTCAAATGAATTTCATTGAATAGTTGATAAATTAAAGATTTACTTTTATGTTTTAATATAAATTTATAACAAAAATATGTCTTTAATACACACTTAACCTCTATCCCAAGAGGCTCAGGTTAGACAAACCCTTTTTATAATTCAGAAAGCACTTTTTGTGTAGTTCAGACTGAAAAAATAATAAAAAGTAAAAATTAAATAAAACCATTCACAATGTGTAGATATTACCTTGGCATGAATAATTGAATATATTTTACTGCTGGGATTCTGAATTTTTGACCCTATATATTTCTGGTCAGGCAAAAAGATTGAAATGGGTTGATGAAGGTTATGAAATGCTTGTCTTCACGGACGAACTTTGTAAATCTCATGATCAAATAGCCCTGGATCTGCAAAAAGAGTTGCTTTCTGCTAATATTTTGGTGGTTGTTGCTGTTACTAATCAAGAATCAGTGAAGTGGATTCAGAACAATGGCAGAAGCATCCCAAACATTATCTGCTTTGACTCCTCAGGGGATTTAACAAACAAACTAGGAGGGTCTTATGTTCTCAGTGAAACAAAAGGAACCTTGTTCGACAATATAGTTGGAATCTCTCAATTAAAGAAAACAAAAGAACCGGTGGAAGTTGTGCAAACTGTATCTGAGGCATGGGACCGGCATAATTCTGATGACATAAGGTTCTGTTTACTGGTTATTATAAACACTTATATAAAGCCAGTTCCAATCTTGAAAAACCTGAGATCAAAGGGTTTTTCTACACTGAATTGCATGGTGAAGAACTGTGGCCCTCAGATATTGAATTGCCTTATGGATCCAAACTGTAGGAAAGCTCTTCAATGTTTGAATAGGTGTAGTCCTGTAGATCAGGTGTGCAATTATCGCTGCATTGCTTCGTATGAAAGTCCAAACCTAGAAGCATTTTCTCTGTGTGTTCTGCAGAAAAACAACTGTCTTGATTTGGATGCAAAGATACCAGAAAAGCCATATGTGCCACCCATGGCTAAGTTTCGAGACAAGGACTTGTGTCATGAAACTGCTGAAGATCTTTTTGTTGGTTGGTTGGGGAGTTTGGATTGGAGTTGGCGAGTTGTTGCGGGGCAGAACCCAGCTTATGATCAATTTCCATGCCAGTACCAGCTATTCTATAGGGGAAAGGCAAAAGGATCATTTTGGTATGAGCCAATTTTTCAAGTTAAAACTTTAGAAGGAGAAATGGTATGGAGGAGGCGTAAATATCGGGTTAAGAGAGGCAAAGTTCCTGGAACATTTTACTTTAGTGTCTTGGATAACGGGGTTGTATCAAATGAGTTCTGGACAATTGTGGATGTCTCTGATGATTTTAGCTGGGGTTTATTTCATTATAGTGGTGCAGCTCGAGTGGCAGGGCAATCTTATTCTGGTGCAGTGCTTGTAAGTCCTGATGGAGCATACCCTAAGGAGTCAAAGAGCAGTGCATTATTTTTTTCTTTGGAAAAGTGTGGAATTAAGGACTGGGAGTTATTTATAGTTGATAATTGTTCATGCCAGGATCCCCCATTGGGAATTCCTGAAGGTTCAAGGTTACATTCTATGATTAATGTAAAAGACCAGAGTTGGGCTTGTCAATAGGGATAGCCAACAATTTGAAGTTCATTTGGCTTCGAACTTGCTTATCCAGCTAAAAACTCATTTGTGTGTGAATCTGGAAGATGTTTTTCTTACCCATTCATAACTCTTAACAAATATGCTATGTTAAGAAATATTAAATAGCAGAATAATAAAAGAATTATTCTGAAGCGCGATCTCACTTTCCTTAAGAATTTAAAATATTTCAGGATATAACAGAATTTAAAACTCTCTCAGAATTAAATGTAAAACTTTGACATTGTATAAAAATTTATAATGCCTGAAAAGTCACTATTTGAAAAGATGTATCCCTCCAAAAGATACCATTTTATAGAGGTACTTTTTTACTGCTAATAGTCATGTCTAATTTTTAAGACATGTCTTTCCAAATTATAATTTAATAAAATAAAATAAAAAATCCAAAAATAATAAAAAAATTAAA